TTTCACGTTACTTAATTATACTTAATATTACTTAATAGTTTTTTATTAGGAAAGCTTAAAACAAAAACTCTTTTATTATACCCAATCGCTTCTGAGACAGTTTCTCAACTAACTTAAGCTTATCCTTCCGTCTGTCCGCTTGATGGCTGTTGTCGCGTATATTTTATTCAACGTATAGGCAATTATCGAGAAAATTTGACGAAAATTTTGTGCATTCGCGTACTTGGCCCAACAACAAGCACTATTCAAAATGGATTGGACAAATTCGCCTACAATGCCAAGTCATTATATAAAAAAAAAATTGCAAATTTTCACAATTTCCCAACAAAGACCACAGGATAATATAGGTCGTTCGACATAAGAGAATTAATATAGAAAATTTGGATCGTATGAATCGATTTTTTGAATGCTCCACTGTATAGCTCTTCTTACGAAAAGTAAGACTTTATATGGCAATAAAATCTAATCTTTATTATTTTATGATGAAAATTGCTCCTCAATAGTCCTTTGACATGAAAATTAAGATCACGGGGCTAGACTTTTTGGAACCGATCACATATAACACGATTATAGAAAAGAATTTAGAAAACATCATCTCATCCCATCTAACTTTTTCACATTCGTTTAGTGGGTGAAAATAATGCTTCTCCATGCTTCTTCCATCCAATCCACCTTTAGTAAGATTTGCCGCTGAACCAAAACTTGTCAGAAGAATAAATTTGATCAGGAAATCTTTTTCAAAATTTCTATATGTAAATGCAACAAATAAACAAGAAACCTGAACAGACATCAGAGAGATGGACTGACATAGAGAACTGCTTAAAAATGAATGATGAATTTATTTGAAAGAATGATGTACACTGAGTGTTGCATACATGAGCACATACTTAGTATATCTTTATCACAAACGAATTAAGATACAATTAGGTAACGTTGCAACAACACCCAGCTATTTTCATGGCTCAAAGATATTTGCTACACCAACACATCCATATCTTTTCCATAAAAAAAAAAAAAAAAAAAACGGAAGCATAGTAATAATAAAACAGATGGCAGTCGAAATAATAAACTCTGTCCAAATCAAGTCTTGAGTTATAACGAACGTGACGAAACGTTCTCGTTCTCGTTTGGTGAGTATTACGTATGAGAGAAGTAATATTTCACTTATACCGTGTCTTTAATGCGTTCAAGATCTCGTTTATGTTAATTATACTTTTTTTCGTATGCTCTTATTTAAATGGACAACTTTTTACATACACACAAACAATAAATGAAAAAATGTTAATTTCCATCGAGCCAACTTAACATAGTTTCATTCAGATGCATTTTCAATAGAATTCGCACCTATGCCAGAACATATGAATCAATCAACCAACTAAAATTTCATCAAAATATCTAGAAAAAATATATAAACTGAGATTAGACGGATGAACGGATAAACAGATTTAAATCGATTTAAAAAAAAAAAAAACGCTAACGAATTGATTCCTATCCTCAACTCGTTCTAGATGTTGCGCACATTCCCACAAATTTTACATAGCCTTATCACAAGAAAACATATGTATGTACATAGCATTTAATTTGTGCAAATCTCAATGCACCATAAAATGTTGTCGTCAATGCTCGAGAAATGTTGTTTCAAATTTGGTAATACTGCAAATATCATATATATATCATATTAACGAGATCATTTTCCGTTTTCTTGTTTTTGTTTTTGTTAATAATACATGATCTTGCCTTAAAAATCCTCTTATGGATTGTGTGTTACATGTTCTTACCCGTACCGGGCATAATGTACGATATAATAAATGAAAATTTAAAAAAAATTAAAAAAAAAATGGGAACAAGACAAATGTAAAATTTCGCACATTAATCCTTGTTTCCCGATATCGCTACATGTATATATATATATATAGAGTACATAGAGATATTCAAATTTCAAGTGTGGTAGAGTTTTTAATAAAGCCGAAAGCCTTAGATGCTAGTGCTTTAAGACTTTAGTCTTAAAATTTATTCTCTGGCCAAGTTAATAATAATAATGATAATAATACGTTGAAATGATTCCTCTACTACACACTAAAGAATTCGACTTGAAGGGATTTTTTGTTAACATAGAAACGACACGACATCTCAACGGAATATGAAAGCGTCCAACAACTTATTGTTCCATCTGCGATTAATATATATTAACAATATATATAAAAAAGACAAATTTTAAGCACTCATTACAACTGTGGTTTAACCTTTTTGCTGTCTCGTGAAATGTTTGTATAATGCATTGCTGTTCTTAATCCATAAACAAGTGGATCGATCGACAGAGAGATGAACTTTCTTAGTATGATACAGAATTGATAAGCATGCACGTTCATGTTTAAGCATCTTCAAGGCATACTTCTACGGCATATGCTAACTAAATAACAAAAGTTTATATTATTTCCGGGGATAACTTAAAAAACTAAAAAAAAAAAAAATAAAAAAAATGCTTTCAGACTGATTTTGAGCCAAAGAAGGAAATTTTAGTTTTTGTAAAACGAAAAGTTTCGCAATAAAACCAGTTTTGTTCAATTATTTTGTCAATTAACAAAAAACGGACTCACCTTCAATTGGCGCCATAAACAGCATCTTTTATTCAAAAATAAAATAAAAATAAAATGCGGGATACAGAAAAGGGGATTTTACAAGTCTAGTTTTAATAATAAAAAATATATATATAATTTAATTAATATAAGCGGATAATAATTAAAAACAAAAGTTTTTAAATTTAAATGTAATTCAAATAAATCAAATAAAAACACACTATAATGAGCCACGGCCATTCGCTAAATACCCTACACAAACTCTAGCTATGCCAATAATGATCGAAATTATTGTTAATAGTGCCCGTCCTGGGGTCAAAAGACGACAGTGTACCAAATTTCATAAAAATTATACAAGAGATCGCAACGGACCGACGGACAGACAAGCTTAGAATCACTTTCTGAATCGATCAACATAATAAAAAAAAGGTGGGCCCGACTGAATATTTTAATATTCACTCACTGTCTTGTGGTGACTGGCTTCGCACGTCGTATCGTAAATATTATTTATGTACAGTGCGGTTTCCGCAGTTTTTAGGCAATTAATCTGCATCCCGTTAATGCTTGTGCAAAATGCAATCGATCTTTATACGTTTCGCTTGATTTACATGACTTTTCTTGACATTTATTGTCGAATACTTAGTCTGAGCTTGATTACGAAGCTTTTTAAGATTTCATTAAATTTATAAGCAAACTCAAAACTCTATACTAAAAGCCATAACATTTTAAAAATCTGAGCAGTTTATAATATTGCGTCCGAAAAATGAGGAGATTTCTTTTTTTTTTCTTTTTAAATCCAGACAATGCAAGTTTTTCAACCTACAGGTCTACGTACTGCAAACTTTCATTGTATCCAACTTAAGAATATGTTCTCTGAACTCTACACATTAATGGAGTAATGGAAACAGTTTATCTCTACTTTTTCGTATGGAAAAAATATTAAATTCACTCCATGTTCCTAAGGGCCTACATGCGGATAGTGGACAAGGTGTAGTAGCATTGTACGTAAAATTCCGTTGCAATTATGCATAAACATCTCCGCGTAGTTGATTGTTTAGTGTCAAGCTCTTGTCGAATCACCACAACTGTAAAGTGTAAAATGCCGATGGGAAAACCATTGTAAGATGATATGTAAATAGCAGGTAAACTCGATAAAAAAACATGAGAAATATAATTATTTTTGCTTTCATTAGCACAACAATGTTAAATACTTTTCAGCTATTTTTGAAAGCGCAATGCATGCAATAACGAAAAATGCCGTCAGCTTTGCAACAATCGTTGAACGAAGATTCCGCAAAGATTCAATTAGAAGCACAATTATGGCTACAAGAAATAAAATAATATCAATTTCAATCATTCCATGCATTCAGTTCGTATGCAATGGAAATTATGATTAAGCAGAGCGTAGCCTTATTACTTTTTTTAAAAGTTGTCAACAGATATGTCTTTGATTCATTTTCAGTTCTAACTTTAACTAAAGCGATCGATTGTTGTGGCATTTGTACATCTGTGCATATCTGCAGGATTCCTGCTTAAATGATGAATGATTATCAAATTAGTGAAGTTATAAAAGAAACAATCTAAACGGTACCGGCTTTCACATTCAACCTACACAAGAAGGTAAACATATCCGGCCACAGGCGTCGTTGTGACGCCACAACGTCTCAGCGTCTATCCTTGGCCTAAGTTCGTTTGCCGTGTGCGCCCGCTAGACACAAAAAAAACTTAATATATGTCCCCGTTCGAATACCAAGTTTAGTTTCTTGATCGCCTTTCGCAGATGGCAAAGGTATCAATGAAAAAAAAAAAAAAAACAAAACGCAATAATACCAAATATTCTTTGATCAATAAGTGAATAATAATATCAAATGACTTTTAATAAAATATAAAAGCAAAAAGTTCATCAAATATTTAATACAAACAAAATAAATAAAAACGTTTTTCTTATGAATCATTTTCAAAATTTTCTAGAAAGCACTATAAACAATAATGTTAGAAACGCTTACAATATCGCTTAACCAAATATGGAATTGTGTACGTGCGCGTATACATATGCATTCATATAAGTATCTGGTTTTTACAAGCAATTAACCGAAAAAGAAAACAAAAACAAAAAAAAAAAATACATAAAAATCCATATTTGTTATGTAGATTTTTTTCTTTTGTTTATCTTCATACCCATCATCACCCAGGTTGTATTAGATTTGTCAAGCGCTTAGCTAATGCATGGAGAGATAGGCATCAGTTAATCAACAACTTATACGATTCGTTAACTAGAGGACCCACGTTCGCCTGTCTGCCACGATTTCAAAAACGTATTCAGAACGAAAAATATCTATCTTAAATTCTTTCACTTATTGTACGTCGGGTAGGAGATTCAAAATGGATAGAATAGATAGAATAGATAAAAATTATAGAACTTACGAACTCTAGTCTTGTTATCAGCCAGTCTTATACGTATACGTATCTTTTCAGCAAATTTTGATTCTTCTGCAACCACAGATATAGGATATAGACTAAACTAGAGGGAGAATAACGAAGAAATTCATACCGTTTAAATGTACATTTTGCATACATGCTTTATTTTATACATACATTGCGTCTTTGCAAACATTTATTTGTTCTTAAGTTCATTAGCGATGACTTACAAGGATTCGTTGCAAGCCGACTATATTTAATATAATAATATTGTTTTGGTGTTTTCTCTAACACACACACACACACGCACACACGGAAACCACACAATCAAAGCAAAAGCAAATTTAAAGCGAAACTAAATCAAGGAAACGAAAACACACCCACATATATAAAAAAAAAATAAATAAATAAATAAATAAATAAAAAAAAGAAAAAATAAGATGTAATCTCTTGTAGTACAAGTGCAATGATGAACCAATAATTTTTATTGGCGAAATTAATGCTTAATACCTGTCTTTGGTTATAAATTCATATTTCATTGCGTTGCTTTCGTTCGCATTAACGCGATATGTACAGTGAGTCTCATTAATATTGGGTTTTTCTCATATAAAGAACGATTCGAGGATAAAAAACCGCATCCTAAAAAAAATTAATATTTGGAGAGGTGCATTTAAACCTTTTGACATATTGCAGAAAATTTTTCTTATGTAAGGAACAGGGATCTTACCCCATTCTTCTTATAGTTTATTTTTCACATCTTGAATGAAAGGGATTGTGTGTTTTCGCACACGACGATCTAATTCATCTCACATATTTTTGATGGGTTTCATGCCTCATCATGTGTGCAAGAGGATGAAGCACTTTGTGGCACTTAGATAAAAGCCATTCTTGAATTAACCTGAGCTTATGTTTGAGGTCGTTATCTTGGTAGAATTTAAATGTTTGCCAAATACCATGTTTGTCGTCCCTTCTTTCTATCAAATTTTCCTTTCATATCCTTAAAAACTTCTCCTTATTTACAATGCCCTACATGTTCCGACCCCATTGGCCTAATACACACCGAACTATAACATGCTCACTATCATGCTCACCGTAAGCCGCTGGTACAAGAACCTCTGCATGTTCCCTGAGACAGGGAACATGCATTTCTAAGTACATTTTTTCCGTTATATTTGCTCTCATCACCTCTGTCAATGAATTAACAGTCATTTCATGAAGAATTGGGTCATTTGTCCTGGCAAATTCTAGTCTGGAATAATATATATATTTTTTTTTTTTCTTCGTTTTTGTTTTAATATGTATGTATTTCCTAGTAGTAAAAAATAGTGAAAAAAAATTTTTAAATTTGAACAATGGACTACGTTTAACAGGCGTTTACTTTTCGTCGAGCGAAAAAACCCAACGTTAATAAAACTCACTGTATATATATGTTAATCTAACGCCATCGTAGCTACAAGAAAATTTATTTATATAGATTTACAATTTCTCTTTGTTATATAGAGGAAATCGAAAACAATGTGAACTGTGCAACAATAATTAATACATTTGTCAATTAGATTTTAATTAAATTTATTTAAAATGTATTCTTCAAAAAATTCTTTTACATGAGTTTTTATTTTTTTTTTTTATTTTTATTTTACTTTTTTAATTTATTTATCTCTTGTCTTTACGCATGGAATGACAGTAGAAAGAAACAAAACAAAATATATGTATAAGAGCATAAAAGGCACAGTACGTTCAACCTAACCATATATCATTCATAAGAAAGCCTTACATTTAATTGAAAATATTTTATAACCGCATTACAGAGACATCACAAGTTACAACGTAATATATTCTCTAAATGGTTTTCGCGATTTAACAACTCTGTTTTATAATAAAACTTATATTGAAACGTTTTCTTCTGACTACACCTTCGGAATACCGAAATTAATACAAAATCAAAATAACTATAACAAGGATGCCCATTGTTTTCTTTTATGGCTAGCGACAAGTCACAAGGCGAGAATATACACCAGCAAATGACAATTTGCTTAATTATTAAAAAATCGGAAGAATGGAATAATACTTCTCTTCGCAAAAGTGAACAATTTCATGAGAAAGGCTTGATTTTTTTCAAACAACTTGAATAAATTGCTAAAAATTCTTTAATATAATTTCCCTGCTCGAGAATAACTTGAACTTTATGCTCTACGCGATATCAGATATCATATTGCTATTCATTTCTTAAATTTTTATACAGCATCGATGGACAGATCGTATAGTTACTTCAACTAGTTCAGCTATTCTTCGTCAAAATGGTTTATATAGGATAAACCAAAATTTACGAAACATTTGAATTTGCCGCCATTTATAGGGTAAAGTGTTGACAACCATAGAAAAAAAGAAATATTTTGCCAACTGACAGGTTTAAGGTTAGTAAAAATGGAGCCTTATACGAGAGAGCGATGTGTTTTCATCTAAAACTAATGAAAATGTCACGCCCACAGATCGCAAATTTTGTTATAAAAATGTGGTCCGAATCAATTCGAATCAATTTGGGGTGTGGAGAACTTGGAAAATTCAGGAAGGTTGGTCGGCCAACAACAAACATTTTAAATGTTAATATCGAAGCAATGTGTAAGAGTGTTGGTAAAAGTCGAGAAACATTCATTTGGTTTTTTGGACAAAAATTGTAAATTTCAAGAAGCATCCTACAGTGCATACTCAATCCAATCGACGCAAGAACTGAATGATTAATGGCAGGAATACTAGTCGGCTTATAAGCAACATGGATTATACGCGTCATGTTAAATTATTAACGCTTTTTGTGTTCATCAAAGAGAAATGGGGCAGACTGCGATGCATATGACAAGCAAGATATATTTGGAAAAACCAAGTGTTTGGAAATATTTGTTAATATGGAAATCTTTGAAATCTTTGTAATCTTTGATTATTGGAAAATGAGTTAATGAAAACGTTAATCGGAGAAAAAGATCATTGTACCTAATATGGCTGCTGAGCTCAGCTAAAGGCAAAGTACTTTATATATGAAATGATTACGTGGTTAGGTGTGAACAGATTACTTTATGCGCTATCACTAGTCACTGATTTTTAGAAACACATTTCCTTACCGCGACACATCGAAACGAGCCCGACTGCGACTTTTGTTTTAACAACACAAGAAGAAAGAAAATAAAAAAAAATAAAAAAAAAATAAAAAAACATTTACCAAAGTTTAATCTTTCGCATTCTCTAAGCAAGATTTTTATTTATTAATTTTGATTTTTTTTTTTTTAACTATTTTGTTTTATATAATTTTACTCGATTGTCATAATTTTTTTTAAAATTAAGTAAACGAACAAACTAAACTCTATTACATTAATATTATTAATATTGCTTCTTATTAAATAAACACACACAATCAAATATTGAATTATAAATATACGTACATGTATGTATGAGTTTAAAAACAAGTACGTATATACCGACATACATGCATATTATTATTCCTACGTTATAAATCTATTTATAAACTGTGATGTGTGTGGCGTACGTATTGAATTTGTGTAATAAGAGTAAACTTATATGCGGCCTAAGTCGTCTCATTAATACCCAACGTTACTTATTTTCCCTCTCTATAGAATTCTGTTCTGGTGTATACCGTTTGATATGCCATATGTATGTAAAAGCGATATTTTGCAATTAATTAGCTTCAATTATTTGCTGACCAATGTATATAATATGAAGATTGTTTGAATTCTATAAATACGATAACGTGAAATTTGAAATCAGTGAGAAAAGTGATTCGACAAAATTTTAATAAGCTGACCTCGAAGACGATGCTATCTAACGTAAGGAAAATTATTATTTTCTTGAATTATTATCTCTAAGCATATGTAAGATGTTTAAGTGACAATTGATTTTCCGCCTTGGAAAGCATTAATTGATTTTATGAACGAAATACGTAAGCAATTCTTTCCAAAAAAACTTTCGCACAGCAAATCCAAATCATCAAATTAAGTTAGACTGAGCATATGCCAGCAATAACGCTCAGAAATTGAATATCAAAAAGTGTTCAATTAAAAGCACAACTGTCCGATCGCTTTTATTGCTGGCGTTGTTCCATTATCCTTAATCAAAATAAATAAATATATATAAATATTGACTTTGAACTTTCATTCCAATTGAAGAGGCTGCCATTCTAAAAAAAAATTTTCTATATGTATTAGTGTAACTAATCAAATTTACGCTTTCACTTCTATCAGGCACATTTTATTCAGGCCTCTGTCGTATACATCTATGCGTTGCAAATCCAATGATAAAGTTAGCATATCTTTGCTCTAGTGAGGTATGCGATGCGAAAAGAGAGGGATACGCATTCATTAGCTTCTCCATGTGTAAAGATTCGTACAGAGAATGAATTTACTAAAGGTTTTTCTCTTTTTATTATCAAACTAGAAATCTATTAAGCATTAAGTGTGTATTCAATTTTCGACAGCTGATCGTTTGGTTGAAAACAACCTCAATCAATCAGTATATAAACCTTACGAAACATATTTTGCACAGTGGTTAAATCACTAGAAATATGCGATATTTATGAATCACAAACCCGACCATAATAGTAGTGGTATTCTTGTTACACTCTTTATAGACATCAGATAAAGAATTAGACAAGAATGATGTTGGACTTATGCGGAATTCGTACTTCTAGCTTGGTTTCTCTTTCCGAAGAGTCATTATGCGTCCCTTCACAAATCTGACAGCGACTTCAACACTTACGCTCTCAGCACTCGTTCAATGTTGCAATTCTACATAACTAGCTATACTGACCTACTCTATAACTAATGTGCCCATATGACGACAGACATCTAAATTTTTTCTCCGGTGAAGTCGTTTTGAAAAATTGCAAAAATACCGGTTTCCGGACGGCATATAGGAAAATCGAAACCCTCATTACTTGTTAGTCTAGTCGGGGCAAAAGAAGAATAGTGTCTGTCAATATAACAAAAGCTAAAAAGGCAAGACATGTGCTAACCGAGATCATGAGAAGTATGTCGACGCATTCTAGATATTACGTTCCAAATACAACAGCTGAATACTCTTTAGATACCTTGAAGCAAAAACTTGGAAGACAACAAGTTATAGTTAACTAACCAATCAGATATATTTGAGAGAGAGAGAGAGAGTTAAGTGACAAAGATTGTTTAACAACAACTAATACTAAATTCCTTTTGAACGAAAATGAAATATTGCACTTCTTCAGATAATAGCTCGGATGTGTGAAGAACTAACCGACTCCAAAATTTTCGATGTAAAACTTTAATCTGCCATCATTCCAAAGGTGCAGATTAATTAATGACCTTGCGGATCACCGAAGATTGCAGCAATAATTATACGGGTTTTGTCGCATTCTCTGCAGAATTTGGAGAAAGAGAATTTGTATACAATTTGCGTTTCTAGTTTCACTTTCACTTTCGCAAAAGATTTCATTTTCCTTAATTTCACAACAAAGATAAGTAAAAATTAAGAAGAAGAAGAAATCGTTAGTTTTCATATGCTGCATCACTTATAGTAGAAAGGTATATTAAGTTATGCGGGCGTATGCAGCAGCCAGAAGGACTTGATGAAGACCCATCTTTTATTATAGCAATCGATTCATAAACATTTTCTGAATCAATTTGTTTAGGCCCAAGCGATCGAATCGAACCACTTTTTCGATCATTTCCCGAATAACGCATTAATTTGAAAGGGCGTGACTGCATTAATCGAAGTGCTGTAGGGTTTTGAATGGTGGGCCGTGGCTCCTTATAGTAATTTTAGTTGTTTAATATGCAGAGAACACTAAATTCACGAAAAAGTTAGTAAATTAAATCTTGAGCGTTTTTTTTTTTCATCTAAATATTTCTTTAGGAAGATAAGTTGTTCTTTATTCTGTTTTAGTCTTCCTTGCATGCATTTTTGCATATCATCTGTATCTTTTACATATTTTTTGTTTGTCTCTATAAATCAAAAATTTGGCATCATCTGCAAATGCTGCATAAATTGTACAGAATTGAAACAATTCGACATACAATTGCGTTTTTACTTTGGATAATTGCGACAAAAGCACTCCTAATATCGTTGCTCGTCAACAAAATGCAGAGACATTGCTGATATGGCAATGCGAAGTTACCGACTAAAACTTTTCGAGTTGAACGGAAACTTTATTATTCCCCACCTCGTACTAAACTTGTATTAATTATTCAATAACAGAATCATTTTTATACAAAAGTGTAAAATATTCTATCGCAGATAGTAGCGAACATATCATTGTCACATAAGATGTCAAATAGTTTCAGCAAATTTTGCTTTGTTAGAAAATCGGCACCCATCGAAAGTTCGAGATACTCGCATTTAGTTGGCATAGTTTCTTGTTAGCGAAATTGTCGAGCCTGTTAACTTACTCCAACAGAAATGCAAGGAAGGTCAGAGCAAAAGTGATCAATTGATATTCAAGATTTTGCAGATACTCGCATATGTTACCCTAATTTCTCTATAAATGTTTTTTCAAAACCTTATCTAGATTAAAACAAGTAAGAACAATATAGCCGAGCGAAGTCGACCTCTAGGTACACTACACCACTGCCCTTAGTACAGTTATTCACTCGTTTTAGTAATAATTACACATTATTTTCAAGCATGCAAAGGCATGCTTTTCATGAAAGACCGCATACTGGAGGATGCCTAAAACATCACATGACGCACTCCAATATCCAACGTTTGATGATAACTCCTATATATGATCAAATCTTGAAAATAGACCTATGTAATTCAATTTTCCTATCGTTAATGGATCAATTTTTATCATAAAATATTAAATCTTACATGGGGTGTGGTTTAAGAAATAAACCTACTACATGCAGATTTGGTCCACTTTGTCAAATTATAATATTGTCTTGAATAAATTTTCATCGTAAAGCATTAACAATTACAGCCGGACCAAATATTCAGAATGCCAAGGTACTATTACATCGCGAAGTTTGATGAAAAATTTTCAAAATTTGCAATTTTTTTCCATACAACTATTACTCGAAATATATGTAGATATGCGAGGAGTGGTCAGAAAAGTGCTCGTCTAGCCAAAGCGTCTCAGTGTACCAAATTTTATCAAAATATCGAAAAAATTGTGACCTATAGGTAGAATATAGGTAAAATTTCACGGACAGATATCAAATGGCCATACGGACATACAAGCTTAGTTGGATTCAAAGAATGAATAGAAGGTCTAAACATAGATATATATTAAAAAACTATAATAAATATATGTAAAAAATCAATACTGACTTTTATTCCCGTACTTTCTAAAAATCAATAATGATAACATTTTTTAACCTTGCGGATTTACCGCTACATTACCGTTCAACTGTAGCCGAATTGCGATTAAATGAGTTAATGACTTAAAACGCTAAAACGATATTTCTTTGATATGAAATTAAGCCAACACAATTCAATGTCAAGTACTCATATAAGTGTTAATTTGAAGTGTTCATATTAATATAATAATAACTTATTATTAATATACAAAAATTGGCAGAGTTTTAAAAATAAATTTGTTGATAACACTTTCACATGATATGTAAAGAATAATTGAAAAGTGCGAGAATTCAACAGAAGACAAATGCTATTTGGCTTGAACCGAATTCGTATATACCCGCCGCTAGCGAAAGTCGGATTAAAGTCTGACTTTTATCTATCATATCTTTTGTCTGTCGAAAAGTAATGCTATATATATATAAACACAAATAGGGTAATCTTCGATTGCGTGGTACAGTGAAAATCTACTATGATATGAAATAAATAAACAAATATACTAATAACACTTGTAAACATTGTAGTACAAAATGCTACTGATAATTTACATATTGCATCTGCCAAAAAAAACAAAAATTGTCCTTTTGGCTGTCCAATAGTTTTTAGATAATTACAACTTTAAGGGCAGAGGAACTGGCGATCAAGACAAATATGGCCGCAATTATTGCACCTTTAAGAAAAAATGCTTACAGAACTTTTAACTTTTTTTAAGCAGCTGGGCACAATAAATTGTTCAAGTAAAGAGAGCTTAGCCCATTTTACAGTTTAATGTCTTTCGTTGAAGAATGCTAACTAAAATTAGTTGTTTGGGGCAAGTAGGTCATAGAATTGATCTTATTATTATTACTTAAAAGACTCTGCCGACCAATGATACAATACATCGGCCGCTCAGCAATTTGCATCTGTATGTGCGTATGTGCTTGAGATAAACTAAACATTACAACGAAATCCAAATTAAAGGAGATTTTTTCATTTTAGTTAATTAACATTATTTAGAAAACTGTATTCTACCGATTACAGATTTGAAAATCCATGAATACTTCCCCAACTATATTATACGACAGCATGTAGAAATTGAAGAATGCGTGAGTGATAGTTAGATAGGCATTGAAATGTCTCAAGATATGTTTATCCAAATAATTGATATTAACATGAAATGCCGCATTTGTGTGTCAGTCCATGGAATTAATGATAAAGACTTCGCAACTTTATCTAGAAAATCATAATAGATTGCGATTATTGTTTTTTTCTTTTTCCGAATTATATTAGAAAATCAAAAAAAAAAAAAAAAAACAATCGTTTCCTTAAATTACGGCTATTTGAACTTTTAAGCTCGATATTTCGGTTTGTTAAAGTCATCACAACAATTATCTACAAAATGCTGCAATATAAGAAATTTAAAATTAAACATGTAAACGATATATATCCCCTATCTCTCTCTCTCTCTCTCTCTCTCTCTCATATTCATATTTACTACCCATGTACATGCTTATAAACGAGTCGTTTTGAACCCAACTTAATACGATTTCTTAATTTATTTTCCATTTTTCTTTTTTAGGCCATGGAAAAATACTGATGAATTTATCTTTTTAATACCACTGTGCCTAAACAACCACGTAGAAATATTCGTTACGTTTTTATATATACAAACTACTGACCAAATACTCTTGCCCTATGTGTATTAATAATAATGGTCAATAAAGTCGCGAAAGTTCTCGTCATTTCAAGAAAGTTTGAAAAAAACGCAAGAGAGGGGTGAAGAGAGAGAGAGAGAGAGAGAGAGAGAGCGAAGGATAGAGAGCGAGAGAGAGAGAGAGAAAGCAAGATTCAGGAGAAAAGAGCAAAATGTACACATATAAAATGCAAACAGGCACAAAAACAAGAAAAAAAAAAAAAAAAAAAAGAAGAGAGTAAACTAAAATATGTCTTTCGGATATAAATTATAAAAAGCTGTAGCTAATAAGCCAGACCAAATAACGCATAGATTGGAGCAAATATTTCAGTCTTTTGTGAAATATCGCAGAGAAAGTGTTGTTAGCGAAAATACGGTAAAAGCAAAACGGAAACAAAGCGAACTGTTTGCCTAAACGGAATTTCATTTCGATACATCTATATATACATGCATATATATACATATACATATGTGCTTATATCTATACTTATATACTAAAAAAAAAAAAAAATATATATATATATATATTAAATGTTTATACGTATGCGAGCGTCTTAAATAGCTTCAATTTTTTTTTCATGTTTAAATTTTTGAATTGCTTTAGTGACTAGAAAGAGCAAAAACATTGCACTGGGGTTAAAGCGCTGCACTTGAATGTTAAAAAGAGAGGGCAATACATTTTTCATAGTCACTTATTACTTTTCAATACAACGTCGCAACCTTACCAAAAGAAGCAAAATAAAGTGCAGATATATATTAAATGCATGACGTCACTTCTCTCTACCATATAAGTGTTATTAGCCACAACTGCAATTGGTCGCGTTACAATAAGCAGTTGATACTTTCTTAAAACGACAGTAACGCTTCGATGTAAAAATTAAACACAAAAATTTCTAATACTTTTTTTAGGTTTCGAACCGCTCGACCCGTTCAACAGTCATATGAAAATCCCCAAAAAAAAAAAAAAAAAACAAAAATATCACTAAAGAAAAAAAAAAAAGGAATTAAGAAATATCAAAATTAGAGAAACAAAAAAAAAAACATTACATGCTATTTTGGAAAAATTAATTGAAAACATTTAAAAATATAGCAAAAATTAAATGAAAATTCAAAAAAGAAAAAACGAAAAAAAATTGAAAAAAATTCATGACTAATTAAGAAAAATTCTGCAGTGAGAAGCTATGAGAAAAACGCTCAATTAACGGTTTGTAGAATTTTCCAACATCGTCGCCCATTAAGAATAAAAAGCAAACATCAACTCATTAGAAAATTGACCTGCTTCTCATCCCTTGTTGTAACATTCATTTGCTAGAGAGCAGAGAATAATATAACAACAACGACGACGACGACGGCGACAACAACAACAGCCAATAAAACGAGTGAATTTTAGAAAATTCGAACGTTGGGAAATTCTAAAAAAGCCAAAACGGAAAAAAAGTAAAAAAAAAAAATACCGAAATTAAAGTGAAAAAAAAAGAAACGACGAGACAAGAAGATTTGAAGTGAAGAGCGTATTCTCTTTTTTTTGTATTTTTTTTTTTTTTTTGATCTTTTTAATTACAGTGTTGCGTAAATTTGTGAAAATTAGAAAAACTAAACTTTCAGCTTAGACTAATTCGTTTAAAAAAATTGTTTGCGTCATGAAACCCACTGTGATACCAAATTCTAATTCGTCAAGTTCCCAAAGCTCCAACTATGACACAGCTGCTCCCATTGGCATTAATATCCCAATAAATCATGAATATAGTAATGTCGGATCAACAGCTACTCCGTATCATACACAGGCGCAGCATTATGTACCCGGTGATCCGCATACCGCTTATGGTTCGCCAAGCACGCACATTAGAGTCAACCAACAACAGCAGCACCCGCAGCAAGAAACTCAACAATCGATTCCGGCTTCCTATCAGGTTAGTAGAAAACGTAATATATGTTAAAAAAAAAAAATAAAAAAAAAAATTTTAATAATCATAAACCAAACACGATGTCAAGAAGCGATCGTATTTGGCTTAAAACGAACACGTTACTATTTCTTACGTTCATTGTGATGAAAAGAGATAGAAACTACAAACGAGCATCGAAACTTTATCAGCAAATCGATATTAGATACAAAATAAATATATCTTGAGTGAAATTAAATTTGAATTAAATTTTACTGGTAACTGACTTTGTTTTCTTCGAATTTTCCTTTTTACACGCGTAACTATAAAATAAAATAAAATAATTAAAGCAAAGTCATTGAAATTTGGACGCATTTTCACTAACTAAACAAGCGAATAAGTGAAGAGTCAGTTGCGATTGTGTTGTTGCTCGTTCTCGATATATTATGAAATTCATGCATAATTCCGTGGCAAGCACGCAAATATTCGTGGTCAATGTGAAGTCTCTCTCTCTCTCTCTCTCTTTCGCTACGGAAGCAGAAAATGTTGAGCGAAGCGCACTAAAGGCTTGACTTGATCAAGTTCAATGGTAACTGCCTGACGAAATGAGTTTCTGATGCAATCACATTTTCTTACTCAATTCCTTTTAAATCATTTTGGACTGTAAATTGTAAGCCTGGAAATCTTTAGAGCAATCATTAGAGTTAAGGGAGAGAGTGCTTCTTTTTAAAAAAAAATAATATTAACTTTAAGATTGGAAATCGGGTATATTCATCCGCTATAGCAGTTCACTGTATAATCAATGTAAAAAGTCAACATTCGGTCACACGGCTGCAATGGTAAACTACTATGTATAATGACATAAACTTTGGTTAACTGTTTTATTCATGCGCAGAGAAAATCCGTGTACGCATTTATAAACATAGTTCGGTTTTTCGGCCAGAATAAGATAGTCGACCTACTCTTCATAGTTTTTTTTTTCTTCTTCTTCTTCTTCTTTTTCAACCCTTTCTGATCGGTAGCTAAAATCACGAAATATTGATCAAAAAAAAAAAAGCAAAGAATTCAAAGATTATCATTCATTACCCTTACTGTTCATTATCCCTTTATTATGAAAATTTTGAGACGATAGGTAAAAATAAGATAATTACTTCCTAAAGACGCTTCTATTTGGAAATTGAAGAAGCAATCAATGCAAAGCAATGAACTCTACGTGGAGGATAGGGAAACGTCTTATCTCAATTGCAATAAATTTTGCCAGAATATGGGGAATATTGATATGATAGCGAATAATTTTGGCAAGTTATTTGTCTCGCTCCTAATGGACTGTTTACCTCACTGTGTCTGTTGGCGTAAAGTTGCTTGCTGCCCTGCAGAAACTCATTGAAAATGATAGCTTTCCCCAAGCCCAGCATATCCCAGTTGTGACAATTTAATTGTTCATAAAATTCGATCATAGCCTCTGTCCACTGACATTGTTGCGTCATCATTCATTTTTTATCATCAATAATGAATCACTTTAAGGATGATGATGTTTGAACAGCAAATTAAAAATTGAATTTCACTTCAATCAATTCATTGAATTCCGTTTGTCAATGTGACTTGGCATCCCATCTTTCTATAAAAGTCTCGAAACAGCTTAAATCGTCGAATGTCTTCAATGAAAATTAAAGCCGAGCAAGAAATTAAGTTAGCTGGTAATTAGTTTGTAACAATATTTGACAGCAGGATAGATTAAGTCTAATCCTTATATCGATTCATCGATATCGTAAATCATTTTTACATATATATATATATATATTGTATGTCGTATATATTTGTATGCATATTTTTATACAAGTGAACGATAATCTTGGAAAAATTTAGTAGCTGCAGTAATTGTCGGCGGATGCAAAAATGCAAGAGTGCCAACAAGAAAGAACAAATGAGAACTAGCTTGTTTATTGTTCAAAGTAAAATATTAAAATCGTAATAATTAACATATTAACGAAAGAGAAACACAAAGAGGGATAGACATGGCTATTTCGGTCACTTCCACACTCGATCAGGAAAATATATATGCATGTATATAATTTATGGAAATTGCAACGCATATTTCAATGAGCTACACACACACACACACACACACACACACACACACGCATACACATGTTTAACAAATCTAATGTGCCCCTTAAATAGGTATATAAATAAAAAAAAAGAATTTCACTCTGCCACCAAACAGTTTGCCAAGTGTTGGCACTAATCTGGTTGAGCGACGTAACAGTTCGCTTTTCAATTCGCTTTTTCAATTCACGATCTGTGCAATCTTGGTCCGAATCAAACCATTTTCAATAGCATTCGTCGCTGGGCCGAGGCACGTCAGTGTACCAAAATTGTTTAAAATATCTCAAAAATGGCGGGCCTGTGCGGTTGAGCACAAGAAAACCGGACAGATAGACAGACAAGCTACGATCGGTTTAGGAAATGATTCTGAATCGATCGGTATAATAAAAGATGAGTGAATGGGTGGAGGTGCTGCATACATTCGTACATACTTAATATGCTCTTCTACCGCAAGTAACGGTAGGGGTATTAAAATGCCTTTTACAAATGTAGATTAAATGTAAGTAAAGAAAAAATCAAAACATTTTGGCAGCTACACCTGTACGGTACACCCTATTGTTATCGATATAAGAGAAGACAAAACTTATTTTAAAAGTATACCGCAATATGTGTTTTTTTTTTTTTTTTATATATTTCTACTTATAGATAGATATTCGCAAGTTTAAAATATGAAAAACTCAGGGTCACGACATATGTATAATGCATATATGTATGCATTTATATATGTACATATGTCTTACTTTAGACTTTTGTTTTTAATAATGTGATGTACACCGGTTTGGCTTTTATTTTTAAGTAATGATGCATGAAGGTCAATCCAAAAATTGGTATATCGGTGTATATGATACATTATATACCTTTGTATATATACACATACACACACACACACACACACACACACACACACACACACATGCATATATGCATGTATTTATTTTAAATAGCTTTGCCTTCAAATATTTTTTGCAGCTGGAGCTCAAGAAAATTCTAACATGCCCATGGCAAACTAAGCCTAACGGCATGTCCGCATCCTCCATGGTTTGCAAAAATATTAAGATTATTTTTGCTGCATTTCATAGTAAAAATTGATATCCACAAAGTGGATTTACATGCACTAACAATCTATCATTAACGTTAATTTTATTTAAAAGTTTATTTATCTATTTTTTTTTTGATGGGGAAAAAATTTATTCATTCAAAAGTAGCTAAAAAAGAAAAGAAACAAAAGAGAAGAAAACGGAAATCAATTAAGAAGAATATCTAGAAATAATTTCAATTCTCATTTTATGAACTTTTGCGCTTTTCACAAAAACTCTTTCAATTAGTAATATCGATATAATTGTATATGTGCGCGTATATGTATAAAGAAATTTCAATTTTATTGCTGTCGGAATTCACAGTGAAAGGAAAAACTTTTTCATTACTTTGAAGTCTGAATTATCATAATGTTAATTGATTTGACCTTTAGGTATGTATACCATGTTGTTTCTTAAATATTTTTCCAATAATAATAATAACTTAATTAACCGGTTCTAATAACGATGTTATTGACACAAATATATATTAGCGTCCAAGCTAGTGTGTGCGGTCACGACGTCCGTAAAAATCACAACCAAAAGTATAATATGTCTGCAGGAAGATCGCGTTAATGAGGGTGCACCTCCTTCCGATGCGTATTTCGTCATATTCGTTTTTCATCGGTTATTGAAAGTCTAAGACTCGCCAAAATTGGAGATAAAAAGCGGAAATTGCTTTATACGCATTTACACATCATTAGCCTGAGACCAAGTATAAGAGTAAGCGGAAAACGCGAAATTTAAAGAAAGAAATTTTATATTAATATTGTTAATAAAATTTTACAAATTTGGCGGATATCGACTTAAAATTTCACTACTAATTACCAAGCATACACTAGGTTTGGCAAACGTATATATGCAGTTTCGAAATATCCATTGACCAGTGGAATCGTCTATCTGTCCATTAAGTGAAATCATATCTACTAACCCAAATCGATTCTATACTAAGGCAGCTGAGAGACCAACTTATTATATAATCACTTTTCGCATCTGTCAGTATAAATTCAAAAAAATCAATTAAAGAAGATCAATAGACCCCCGCAATTCTTGAGTTTCTTCAACCTGTAGATTCTAAAACTTCGCATCCGCATCGAAAGAAATATTCACCGACCAGTACAAAAAAATAATATAAATAAATACAGCTCTGTGTGTGTCTCAGTATTTTTTAAATTCTTTCTTCTTCTATAATTAATTCAGTAAATCAACAAAATAATACTGACGGTACTGAATCGAAAAAATGTCCAATGGGCCTTCTTTTCTGTTAGTGGTCGATTTTGTATACGATTGTCTAAAAAGTGCTGTCAAAACATATAAAATTTCTGATTTAAAAAATATGTATTTGTATCTATGCATTACGATACGATATATAAATTAAAGATCATCAACATGGCAATGGCGAATATTAAAGATTTAAGTTATATTTTCATTTTCTAGATATCGACTACCGAAATATCAAAATGCATATATTTTGTCAAAACAGAAGGAGGCTTTGAAGATTCTCTAAGACATGTACATTTTTGATCATTATTAAATTCGAGATCGATTTAGGCGATCGATCTCCATCCACCTGTCCATGTCTCTCTCTCTGTGCTAAACATTCTCTCCGGGAGAGAAATAACACGTATTAGTTTGAAATTTTGCAAAAGCAGACCAAATTACTCGAAGGGCACGCCTACACTGCAACGTGAATTAAACACACCTGTCTAAAAAATGTAAACGAAACAACATCTGTTTCGTTCATCACCCAAAAACTAGCTAAGATACAGAGCTAAAATTTTGTGCGGTTATATACGACAATCAGAAGATTCAGTATTGTTTTCTGAATCGTTTTGTGCTTGCCTCTCCGAC